CGGACCTGCACAAAAAGGTGAGCACTCCGACGATCAAGTCAGTATAGGTCGGATTCCCAGTTTAGTTCGAGGCCAGAAATCATCGTACCTGATCGTGGAGTGAAGTCCTCTACTTATGGGTGGTAGTCCCGCTAATCTTGCAACGGTTACACCCGGTAATCTCGGGATCGTCGGTTACACCCGGTAATCTCGGGACCGACGATTATGCCCGATAATCACACCACTGACAGTAGTTCGCATCGGCCCCCACCGAGCTTCCCGGTAGGTCGGACCTCGGCCAGGTTCACCTCGGCCCTCGTACTTAGCATCTGTCAACGCTAGTAGTGGTGATCTCGGCCGTCCGAGCTGGGCATGACTCATGAGTCATCTTGGAGCACCAATAGGGGTCCTCCACGTGTCTAGGGTATTCTCTTCCCCAAACAAAAGATATACATTATATAGAGTATTAACATATTGAAGGTATATTATTATCATACTATAATTTAGATAAAAAAAATTATATATTATATAACCTTCTAGTTTCTAGGTTAATATATAAAAAAAAAATCTATATATATATTATATGTAACCTTTCAAAGGAAGGTATGTTTATCATATTGTATATTATAAAATTAAAACAAAAAATATATTTAGTATATACCAATAAAAAAGTTTATATTATATAATATTTTAGGTATATGCTTATTATACCATTAAGAAAAAAAGATGAAATTGTATGACCACGGTAAAAAGAATAGAAAAAATTAGAATCAATCTCCCGTTCGAAAAATTAAAATTGAAAAAAGTCACTCCATGTTACAAAACATCTTGAAATAGATGCCATAGAAATTAAATATAACTTTTTTAAAAAAATTAGGATGGAAGATTGAATTTAGAGATATATGCTCTTTTAGAAAATAAATCACATTAAATTAATTGGGACTTAATTTGATAACAAAAGATTATAATTTAAATCCGAAAATTCAGTCGGTTAGCTAAGAAATTAGGGTAGGTTTGCCAATATCACCATACCATAGAACTATAAAAAAGCTAATCTGAAGAAAACTAGGGTTTCGTTTCGTGAGGCCAGCGCCAGTTTTAAGGAGAAACTGCTTGCGAATCCCCTCCATAGTCGTCTACAATGGGGCGTATGCACAGTCGAGGGTCAGTTCCTCTTTTTTCTCTCTTCCCCATCTTCTAAGCTCTCCGGATTCAGTAGCTGAATTCATCATTTTCCGTTTGTGGTTGCAGAAAAGGTATTTCGGCTTCGGCATTGCCGTACAAGAGGACTCCACCCAGTTGGCTCAAGATTTCTTCTCAAGATGTAAGTGCGTTAATTTTTTAGCTGCAACTTACTTTGATTGGAACCGGCAGTTCTGGAATCTTTGTTCTGTTCTGTTCTGTTGTGCCGATTAGGTTGATGAAAACATCTGCAAGTTTGCGAAGAAGGGTTTGACTCCGTCTCAGATCGGTGTGATTCTTCGTGATTCTCATGGTATTGCTCAGGTCAAGAGCGTTACTGGCAGCAAGATCTTGCGTATTCTTAAAGCTCACGGTATTTGTTGCTCTTCTCCTCAATTGAAAATCTTATGTTGTATGAACCTGTACAGGTCGAACACATCTGACGCTAAATAATGTGTATTGTTTATACCCTGTTAGTCAAGAATATATATTAAGTCTTTTCTGGTCATGTGGTAATCTAATATGTGTTTTTGATGGGTGTGATTTGGATTGTTTTCGTTAGGGCTTGCACCGGAGATTCCTGAGGATCTCTATCATTTGATTAAGAAAGCTGTCTCGATTAGAAAGCATTTGGAAAGGAATAGGAAGGACAAGGACTCAAAGTTCAGGTTGATTCTTGTGGAGAGCAGGATTCATCGGCTCGCCCGCTATTACAAGAAGACCAAGAAGCTCCCACCTGTTTGGAAATAGTAAGTGGTCACTGATCTGATTCTCTGTAGTTTCTTTTGTTAATCTATATTAGAACTTAAAGGTTGATGATTGTTTTAAGCTCTATAATTACTTACCATTAGGCTGGATTTAAATTTCTTCTCTTTATCAATGTATTGTATTGCCATGCCAATCACATTACTCTTTTCTCCTGAAGGAATTTTGTGACAATGAAATCAACTTCCTGCTATGACTTAATGTCAAAAAAATGGAATTTTTTCCCTACATTTGTTATTAGCTGGTGATTGATTGATTGGTGTTTTTTCCTTGTTTCAGCGAGTCAACTACTGCTAGCACACTTGTGGCCTGATTTTGTCCACTGCTGCACAGTCGGGTGATTAAGATATTTTCATTTACAACATTCAATGTAAGGTATTTCTGTTTTGTGGTTGTTCTAGATTAGACATTGAATTGTTCCGAGGTATCACAGAAACATAATGTTTAATTTTGATTCTTCTCATAACAATTTTGTAGTTTCTTCCTTGTTTTATGGGACATGATAGTTTTTCTTAATTATAATTGACATTCTTCTGAACTCAATGATGAAGATGTGGTTTCTGAAGCAATTTGCGCCATCTTTCCCTTGCATAAGTATGCTTCTTCGTATACTGAAATTTGTTAGTTTATTGGGATTTTGTATGGTGCCATTTTCTTAATATTTCTGATCCTATGGCAAGTAGAAATTAGTCGTATCTAGCTCAATAAATGCTACCTGATTAACCAGTTCATAAATTTCCGAACTTTTGAGTTTTTGGGAGGAGGGTGGATAATAACTACTGCACCTGGCTTGCATTGTGGTGGAATCATGTGGTTTTAGACACTCTAAGAGCAGCAAAAGGTTCCTTCGGTTGAGAATTGAAAACCTAAAATCTCAACCAAAGGAACGAATCAATAGTATATGGACTAAAATAGTATTTAAACCTAAAATCTATAACAAGCTGATCTCTCTTCATTTCAGTATGCCTCGTTAAAATCTGTTGCACTTCTATTTATAGATTATTTGTGACATGAACTCATTTCTCCTTTCCTAAAAGCTCACTTTGGGGTGCTTGCTTCAGAGTCATACCTTTGGTCTACCTTGTCAGTAGCTTGACATCGTGAATCAATTAGTTTTTAGTTTTTAGGATGTCAAACAAGCCTAAGAGAGAGTTTAGAATGTGTAAGTTAATTGATTTTGCTGAAGTTACTGCAGCTCAAGGGAATTTTGCTCTGTGACTTGGATGACAATTTATATGATGGGTACATCCGATGCAATTAGAATTTAGATCAAATATCTCGTATCTATAAGTGGAGGTGTTGCTACCTGGTTATCAATTTTATCTCATGCAGTTGTAGTTCTAATTTCCTAGTAATACTAATAGTGTATGTTTTAGGAATTTAAAAGTCTCTTCCCCCTGGGGCCTTATATATATCAAATCACAGAGGTGTAGTATTTAGGCTTCGAAAGTTTAATTGAGATTTTGTTGGAGATTCGAATTCATGTTTTTTTGGTTGGAGATAAGTTAGGTGTTCTAATCAGTTGAGGTTGACAAATGAATTGAAATTTACTGATTTTGAATCAGTTAAAAGGATTTGCATTTCATAATTAAAAAATTCATTCTCAAGCATATTTAATGGATTTTAAATATGTATCTAATTATATATTCTATCTCCATCTTCTATATTAATTTTTTAAAAACAATATATAATATTTTTTACGTTAAAAAATATTTTTGGTCCTCAACTAACAATTTAGTTCTTGAACATTAGTTTGTAATGATTTGGTTATTTGGTTCTTTTCCGTTTCTATCGTGAAAAAATATATCAAAGTTAGGTATCAATGTTTATTATATAATTATTTAGTCTTTTTATACTATTAATATAAAAATAAAAAGTCATGGAGACTAAATTGTAAGGGGTTCAATTGTCATAAATTTGAAAGTACAGTGAAATAATTACAAATTAAAGTTTAAGGGTTGAACTATTACTTTTATTTTTTTGAGTTTGACTAAACTATTAATTCAATTCTCGAACCAAAGTATTTTTTAACTTATTTTTCATTCTCAAATCTTTCATTATATATTTTTTAATTGAAATAATTAACTTTTAAAATTTAAGGTTGAGTAAATGGGAGAGATTCCTTCTATCCTCATTTTTAACAATGATTACTTGGGTGAGTCTTGCAGGGATTTTGACATCCCTACATATACAAATCATATTTATAATAATAACTATTATTTTTTTTAGAAGAATCATATTTAGCGTTTAAACATTTATTTGTATGTTTCTCATTTTATAATTAAAAAAAAATGCTTTGTTCTTGTCTTTTTTTTTTTGTTGAAATAACAATATAGTTCATGAAATTTGTAACATAATAATTTAGTTCCATTGAAGATTTATAACAATTTAGTCTAACGGTCTAGCTTTTGTTGTTTAAAATTTATCAAATTTTTGTTCCTAGTGTGAAATTTTTTGTTAAAAGTATGAGGTTTGTCACCTAGGTAGGTCTTGTTCAAAGCTATAATGACTAATTACCAACTATTTATAAGAATAGTCAACCTGAACATAGTTCAACTGGTTAAGACATCTATTTTCGACTCAAAAGTCGTGTGTTCGAATCTCATTCGAATTGGGTTTTGTAACCATTACTCCTATCAAAATACGATCTTTACAAGGTTCCTCTTCTGAATGAGGTGTATTTAGGACGACATTTTATGGTAGATCTACGAGCATTGACTTGAAAATAATCAATTTCAAGCTTATTAATAATCCATGATTTTCATAGAATCTTACCCTAAGAGAAGTCGAATCCACCGCGTCCTTGAAAGAGAGAGATGTCTTTGTAACAATTACTCGCATGAAAATCACTCTACAAGTACTTCCTCGTAAAACAAAAGTGTTGTTGACTTTTTCGAAAAGCACTTAAATATTATTTTCAAAATAAGATTATTTCGAGTGGAAAAATTGGCATGGCAAAATTGTTTTTTCCAGCCAAAACTGTGTCAAGGATTGGGCCACTTCTGATTCGGGCACGCTACCGCCTTCCTTGACATAGATCTCCTTCCTTACGCGCCGCTTCACCCTCCGAGATTCTCGCCGTCGCGTCGCCCTCCGGTCGATTCGATTCTCCTGCAACTCGAACGCTTCTCGAGGTTAGTT